CAAGGGATTAGAGGTGGACGCCTTCTCCTCCCTCTGGTGCCTCTCGAAGCGTTCTCCCGCGGTTCATCAGGAGCGCACAAATCGCCCAACAGATAGCGCCGCATTGCAATGAGTACTCTCGAGATCGTCACTACTAATGACTCACTAGTTGTTATTTCAGAACCATCATCTGCCACCTTTCTCTGTGTAGATATCATCCAACATGATCACCGTGGAGATTGTGGTGGCTATGAGTAGGTAATTGGCTAGCAGCTTTTACTTCAATATAGTCGAGTCAAGTTTGACCTGAGCGAGCCGTGTCCGTGAGTGGGCTGCATGAGCCCCTAGGCTTGTTGCGGATCAAATTCTAAATCAGGATTTGTGACATCACCTACACCATATAATACGTCAAGCCTTCACAGTGGAAAGAGCAATATACTACGCATACGAAACAACCATCTTCGGATGAAAAATATCTCAACCCTCACTAGAGGAACTCAGAACTCAACACAATGCAGAACTTTTATAAAACATAATAAAAAACGATACTACATCATCGCATGCATAATATTTCAATAATTCAAATGTTCTCCGCCGCCAGACTCGATATCCACCTGAGGACGAAAAACAATGCAACGACGGCAAGCAGAGGGAGACTAGACTGCTCCTGTCTTTCCTTTTGACGTCTAAAATAACGTTCCTCCCAAGACTCCGTGTGCAACCTGTCGTCCCACTCCTCACGTGGCAAACGCTCGAGCTCCTCGCGAGTGAGCGTCTCCCTCAGCCTTCTTCTTTCCTCCCTCTCCTCGTACATCTCCTCCAGCATGCGCAACTCGATGTGACTCAGATACATGCTAACTGAGTAGGCTATTCGTTATTGACGGATTGTGTGAGGTGAAAAGGTATGATCGCTCGCCCTGGTGAAACGGCCGCGACCAGGGCGTAGCGCTTTTGCCTCATATTCGTGCATTCACTGCATTAACTTCGTCCGAAAGGTCACACAGAATGTACAGTTGCACCGGTCCCTTAGAAGTGTCATCCCTCATGTCTCTCCCTCTCGTTCTGGCCCTGCTGTTCACTCTATCTTCGATGCAGGTTGACGCTGGCAAGCGTCTTCAAGCACGCATGTTAATACAGAACCACAACTCATCACAGCCGGAAGGGTTCGTGGTTGAAGCTCACGAAGACTGGGCTCCTCACGGGTATGTCTGCGTTATGTGTGGTTTACTCTGCGGTATCCTATCTCAACCACTGCATTCATGATAGATACCAGCGCTTCAAGGAGCTGCTGGTCGATCATTACTTTGACGGAGCTCGTTTCTTCAGAGCCATCGAGTTATTGTAAGCTTCGAGCATCACCGTTCAGTGCTTCGTAAGCCTAACCACCGTCCCCTGTTTAGTGTGGCCCAATGGGGCCTGCCGGCCGATCCTGCCATTGCAAACAAGTACGAAGGTATTCCAGATGACGAGGTCGTCGAGCGTAATGGCAAAGGCTTCATCTCGTTCGCTGCGACGGGTCTGAAAGACTCCCGAACGACACAGTTGTTCATCAACGTAGCACTTCATGTGCTTGCTCATATCGCACGACTCGCTGGCTTTATATTTCAGCTCCGTGATAACTACCACTTAGATCAGAGTTTTCCACCAGTGGCGAAGGTGGTCGAAGGCATGGATGTAGTTGAGCGTATGAACTTCGAGTACGGCGACCATCCTAGTCAAGGTAACGCATGTGTTTGATTTCGTAGCGGTAACTTGACCTTACCTCAGCGTATACACGTATCCAAGGCGAGTCTTATCTCGCTAAGGAGTTCCCAAGGTTGACCAAAATCGTGAAAGCGGAGATTTTGCGTGAGGAAGAAGACGATAAAGTAGTGGGCTGTTGGTGAGCGTCGAACTCAATGGAGTTTGTCAGAACGAACTCTGATTTGATGGTTATCTGGATGACTTCAGAAGCGTATGGTCAGCTGAGAAGAATTATTTCCTTGCTGGCCTTCCTCTGTGTTATCGCCATGCTAATTGAAGGTTACTTATTGTTACTCAGGCGTCGCTACTCTACTGCAGGGTAGGAGTGCTTTTCGTATTCATGTTTCTGCATGGTTTATTGAGAGTTGAGTTCCAGTCGGATATTTGCGAGGTGGCGAGTTCAGTAGAAATTTATAGCAGTCAAATGATGTGACCATAATTCTTTGAACACTTCTCAAGTCTGCTAGTTTACTCCAAGCCTGATGTTATCTCCCTCTGTAGTAGTCACTTTCGGAGCCCACGAGAACTGATCGTTCAAAGGGTCTCGCTTTAACTATCTGTTATGATGATATTTCGACATGTAGGGTTCATGCAGAGGCAACGGCGATAAGAGTGTGTTGATCATCGCTTCGAAATGGCTAGGCTGACGGCGATTTCCATAGTGGAATCGACCATTTTTATTGAGGATAAGCGAACGTTCTACAGCCGTTTTGACAGTCATAGTGTCATTGGTGTGGGCCTAAATAGTGCTGGCATCGACAGTAATCTGTTTTGGTGTTGTACAGTTTGTATTATTCATGCCGACCCAAGGAGGGGGCGAATTGGTGCCGACCACTCGGCAAGCCGTAGGGCGAGGTGTGAAGAGGATACCGCTGAAGGTAATAGGGTCGGGCTACTCTAGTGATTTTGGGATGCCGAGGGATAGACTACCGCACGAGTGATTGATATACTTCATGTCATGTGGGTAGAATGTCGAGGAGAAGCGGACAGCGAAGATCCGCCGTAGGCAAGTCCGACGAGGGTTGAAGATTGTTGAGGAGAGCCTCACTAAAGGACCGGATCTTACAGTGTGGGAGGTAGTGCCAGCTGGACAGTGTAATGATAATCGGCCTGATCTCGCTGGTTTATTTTTATAGATTATGAAGCACGAGATCAATCTGATGGAGGACGGCACCGTGGACGAGTTCGCTGGCATCGGTGTTGCCAACTGTACCAAAGTGGCACCCAACACCCAGTTTCCAGTAGGGAGTGTTCTTCGAGCTCTGCAGGACATGAGTACGGGATGCGAGGCTGAACACTGGCTAGAGGTAGTCTCTGTCGATGGTTAGTGGTGACCACTCCTTTCAGGTGGGATGCATATCGACTCAAGTGTGCCCAGTACTGGCCAAGGCTGCCGAGCTCTTTGCTATGGATGTCAGCGCCAGAGCGTAATACGCTATATCTCGAGTACTCGCATGAATGTTGTCTGGTGGACACCGCTCCTTCGTCGCTTGTCGAGACCAGTGTAGGAAAATACGCACATGGTCAACTACATGTGTTGATGCCAATGACGACATCCTGAGGAAATTGCAGGGGAGTGTCGTTGGTTTTCGCACACTTCCACTCTGAGTCGTACGTGAGTTCAATAATGTAGTGAGGAGAATCTTTAGCTCAGCTGAGTGAACCCAACATATATTCCCACACTGGTCGAGGTGGTCAGGTACATGACCTCTGAGATGGCGTATGTGGACCCCTCAGTGGCGCGGTGTCGACGACGTCTTATGGCCTATGACCTCACAGAAGCTCTAGGTAGTGCTTCTCTATCAATGAGGGCAACCTTCACGTCACAGGTAGATCCCCATGCTTTGATTTCCTAGTGGATGTTCTCCCTGCAACGCCGATAACTGCTGTACGACGAGTCCATGCAGGGGAGTGTCCTTCCCCACCTAAGCCAGCAGATGTCACTGTGGTAGGCGGCTGGGACTGTACTGATTGCCATCTGTTTGTTTATTTCAGCCCCCTGAGCTGCTCGTCTCGTCCTCGAGTGAGGAGAGCGAGAGCGAGCATGAGCCCGACAAGAAAGACGTGGAGAATTCGGAAGCGGTGGAGGAGGACATCGTATTCGAGGAAGCTGACTTTGAGTTCGCGCAGCATGCTTTTGCCAGTTGAATTGAAGCGTATCATGTTGTTATTCTTCGATCAGTGCAAGCGTTTCAACTAAGAGAATTGGTTGGTTTGGGTGCCGGTCGACACTGTGATTTTCCTAGGATCTTCTACTGGCTCGACCCGTGCTGGGTACCAACGTATACGTTCACTCAAATGCTACCCACATCTACCAACCAAGATAGTCAGCCGGCCATCCCCTCCTCGCCCGAGGCTGCGTCTTCGCTGGCCAGCCTTGCCAACCGGAACACGGACGGAGAGCCCACAACGAAGCGGTTCAAGCCCAAGAAGGCCGACTTCAGGCAGCGCGTAGGCGATTTGCTGTGATGATTGATTTTCACCTCTGCATTCAGGCCCATTGTAACCCCTTGAGCGACCCACTGATGCAGTACCCTGTGTCGCCTCGCCATGTGGACTGGTCTATGCACTTCCCCAAGTACTTTCACACTGACAGGAGTCGGGAGGAGTGCGAACAGACTATCTTTAACAATACTAAAGATCATCCTATCGAATACGATTCCTCGCTGATCTACGACCACCCCGTTCGTAACAATTTCATCCTCGACATCGGATGCGGATTCGGAGGTCTTCTGGTATCTCTCGGACCGCTATTCCCAAATAATCTCATCATGGGTATGGAAATTCGAGAGCAAGTGACCAACTACGTGGGCGAGCGGATCCGTAGCATGAGACTTTCTGATGGACCTTATAAGGGTGATAACATCGCCGTTATCCGAACGAACGCTATGAAGTTTCTGGCCAACTACTTCCCAAAGGGCTCGTGTGACAAGATGTTCTTTTGCTTCCCCGATCCTCATTTCAAGAAGCACAACTGGAGACGGAGAATCATAAACGACCCTTTGATGAGCCTGTACGCGTATGTGTTGAAGCCAGGTAGCAAGGAAGAGCCGAAGTTGTGGAAGAGATGAAAGCTGCTTTCAGGTGGATTGCTGTATACCGTTACTGATGTGGAGGATCTCCACGTTTGGATGAGGGACTGTGGCGAGCGTCAACATGAGCTTTTCGAGAGGGTCACCGATGCTGAACTGGTGAGTATTTGTTGTCTTCGTCACATCTATACCGTAAATGCTATGCATTCTGAGTGGTTTCGCGATTTCCGAAGCCCCAATCTCATCAATGATTTCTGATGATGGTAACCGCTTGCTGTCTTACTTCATACCCGTCTAGTAGTATTACTCGCTTGTAGGACTAGTTGATGCTTTTTAGTCTCATTTGATGTGAGGTGGTTACTTTTACATCTGCCTTGCCGATTTCCCAGTCCTTTAGTTCTAGACGCGTCTTGTCGAATCGTTTTCATTCAGGCGGGAGACCCTTGCATAAAATGTATTGAGAATGACACTGAAGAAGGAAAGAAGGTTCGTACTCCGTGTTTGCTCTCTCGCCGAAGACATCTACTCAGGTCAAGCGGGCTGGCAAGCCCTGCTACACTGCCGTGTTCAGGCGTCGTTGTGACCCTCCCTCACTGATCGACCAGGCGGCCTCTTACCACAGATTCCTAGAGGAGGCTGCGGCCCGGCAAGCGGCCGCTGCCGTGGCCGCTGGAGCTCTAGGTCTTTAGCGAGATATGCTTATTCCTGAGTCTCTCGTTCACGATTGAACGCTCGTGATTGTTTCGTTGGGGGAGGAATAACTCGTCGTCTTAGTTTTTACAGCTCATCATCATGTCGCAGAAGGCCGATATCGTGTGGACCGGCATTCTCGGCGGGGTCTTATCTCTTGGATATATACAATGGCGACAGCACTTCTTGAGTGAGTCGATTATTGCAATAGTTGCGTCTCATCGGCTCTTGAGCTGCGAAGAGTCTCATTCAATTCGTAGGTGAAAACCTGGACAAGAAGAGCTACTTCGACGAGTTTGGCAATAAAATTGAGTTCGAGGATGAACAGGATGCTGTCGAGCCCACGGTATCAAACGTAAGAGCTCTCCTCCCTATCCTACCCTACTGTTCTTCTGTTCGTCAGCCCATGAAGCGGGCGGTCGCAGGCCTTAAGGCTGTCTATACTCCACATATTCTAGACTTGGCAGCGCTCGTCTCAGCAGTGTGGGGTTATCGAGCATTCAAGAGTAGGCCTTTCCTCTTGTTATCTCGACGCTGATAACGGTTTGTCAGATATGAATAAGTTACTTGAAAGACGGTATGCCGATATTACGTATCAAATCAGACGCCCCGACGTCCTCCTCAACCGCATCGTAAGCCTACGAGTGTCACTGCCATGCAAGTGTCATTCTTCGCTGTGCGTGCTAGGTCTCACTGAAGTATCTTGTCTACGGTGGAGTTCTAATACCAGTTTTAGCGGGCGGCTCACTGGCCCTTGCCCAGTGGCTCACTCTACCTGTTGAGGAACGTGGCAAGGTAGGCTCATGCACGCGCACTGATTTCGCTTCGATTTCTCCTATCCAGACCTGGACATCACGAGTTCAAGGCACAGTGGTTGGCGACTATCTCACCGCCGCTCAGCGGACGATTGGACAGAGCATTGTAGGACAGAAGACAATACGAGTAAGTCTGGGCTATTCTTCCAACACCACTGAACTAACACGCTTACCAGCGAGTAGCACTCGAAAATCTGGACTCAAACTCGTGCTTGAGTATTCATGAACCGAATATATAAGCTTCTTTTACAAGGCGCGAGCTACTGTCTGATTATTGATGAACACGTTATGAAGGATCTCGCGCGCCATGTGTGGAGCTACGACACAGGCCATTGGTCCTACTGTGTGCCCACAAACTCAGGATTCCGTAGATTCTAAGGTGGATTTATGAGTGTACTTGCCTCAGGCCAGCTCCGACTTCCAAGACTTTGCCCACCGAATGAGAGACTTAGGGGATATCCGCAGTGGTTTAGGCCCGTGGAAGCTGTGATCGTTTACCCAACACTGTGTGCAATATTGAACGTGAATTACTATTTGTCCACATTTTCCTCGTTTCTGTCCATTTCAATCGATTGTGTTATCGAGAGTCACAACCCGTATGAACTAGTAAGAGCCGTGCGAGATGAGTGTTCATCCCGAGGTGCTCCGTGTGGAATCCGCGTGATATAATGGAGTCGTCCGATGCACAGATTTCGATTATTTCAACCTTTTTGTTCCGACTGTTCCACATTGTACAAAAAATGCATCATCATATTAACAACACAGTAGTATTATAAGTTTGTTGCCGTTTATTTCATCACCCAAGTTGGTGCATAACTCGACAACATGACAGCTACCGTAAGCGGACAAAGGAGTTCATGCGTGTACACGGTTGAGCTCTGCATATGCAGACGCAGGAACCGTTTCAGTTGCACAACAAAAAATCACAAAAACTCCCCGGATGACTTGGGTCGGGGATTGAGTCTCGGGGATCGAACTAGGAAAAGTATGCCGGCCGATCCACCAACTGTGATTGCAATACCAACGAGGACGGGAGACAAAAGGGCACCTAAAGAGGGAGAAAATGTGTACGCCTAAGACTCCCAGATAGACTCTCACCAGCGGCAGCAGCTAGGGTGGTAGACACAACGACTGCAACCGCCACCGCCTCGGAGTTCGCTTCGTATAACTCGTCGAGGCTAACTGCACAAGTAGAGCCTAAAAAGCATGACTTTAGTAAAGACAGACGCTCGTGAGAATTTACACTTATTCGGGCATCGGGCAGTTCTAGCTTCACCAGGAGAGCTCGATTCTGATGGTTGGAAGGCCTAGAAGGGGCAACATCGAACCATGTGGGATGTGTTGCACTCACGACCGGCTCGGCCCGAAGTAACTGGTGCCTCCGGACCTGATCACGGAGAGGCTTCTTCTTCTTTCTTCGTTGTTGTTTCCGCCGAGCGTCGGCCGGCGATTCTAATGGAGACGATCGAGTTGGGAGAGGCGGTAGGTCTGAAGCTGAGAAAGCGATCTTTCGGGCTAGGCATAAATCCACATACTTTCCATTAGAGGAATTCCGAAAGCCGAACGAGGTAAATCTTCGATATCGGTGTCATGATGCTCTCCTCGACGAGATCCCAAGCTTGAGGCGGAGCTTGGGGATGCAGGGCTCGAATCGGCTACATTTTGTATAACCTAAAGCTGATGATTATGATGCGGTTCCTCTATGAAAGTTGACAGTCAGTAAAATTAGTGATATAGCAGCACGCATGGGTAGTCCGACTCACATTCAATGCTGAAGGGTCCTTGGGCAGGTGAGGAGGAGACGAGTCGGCCATGCAAACAACGAAAGACTGTGATTAGATGCCTAACAATTGCGCGCGAGGTCCACATTCCGATCGGTGGATCTTGCGCTCTTGAAGGTCTGAGGTTCGAACCGAGCACCCCGCCGTTTTCCGGAATTTATTTCGGGCCAATTCAAGTGCGCTGAGTATCATTCGGATCTATTCAGCGTAGTAGTTTCTCCCCTATGTTCCGCTCTGAGATTTCTCCTCTCCTTCGGCTCGCATGGACGGTTCCACGAGCAGCTCTCTCGCGAACTCCCCCTCCATTTGTCGGTGCAAAATTTGCTGTTCCTACCGTGCGGACGGCGGCCAGGAGCTTCACCACGAAGGCACCAAGCCAGAACGAACCCGAGATTTTGCTCACTATTGAGAAGTACTATAGGCGAGTTCATACACAAAGCGTCACTCAGAGCAACATGAATAAGTTTGTACAGCACTAGAAATTCATCTCAGGCACATGGACGAGGCCATGAAGGCATTTGGGGAGGGAAGTCTAAAAAACTGCTTGATCGCGAATAACAAAGCCATCGAGCTCTTCGAGGAGGATGCTAATAAGGTACGTCTACGGCACTTGTTGACATTTTGTGATCATTTGGAGTAGAGCCTCCGTCGTCAGCAGCATCAGCGGTATGCTGCTGCTTATCTCAACAGTGCTTTCGTGTTGAAGCAGTTGGGGGCCTATCAGGAGGCGAAGGAGGCTGCAGACAAAGGCCTTGCCATTCTCATGAAAAAGTACTGCTGTGAGAGGATGGTCGGAAGTTTTGTAACATGTTCAACTCAAGGTACACTATGCACAAACGGGAAATTGCGGAGACTCTGGATTTACTGGGCGAACTGTGTCAGAATCTAGAGCTCACTGAGGAGGGAAAGGCCGACGTTAGCCGATCTATTGAGCTCAAAACGGCATTGTAGTATAATCAAGATTGCTCTATTCTTGCTGTAGTGCTACATAGGTATGGGCCCAACGCCATCCAGCTAGCGGTGCCCATGAATATTCGAGGAGCACTGCAGCTCCAACAGGGCCATCTTGACAAGGCTCGCTCAGATTTTTTACGAGCGCTCACATACACGTAGGCTCGAGGGTCTAGTTTGTGTGGGGAGGATTATTATTGTTCAGAGTGAAGTACCATTCTGCTGGCAAACCCGTCCATCCCCAAATCGCTGTATGTCTGAGCAACTTGGCAGGGGTACTCCAAAAGGAGGGCAAGTAGGTCGCAAAGCTCCAGTTGAATCTTCATGTAGTCTTTTTTACACAGGCTCGATGAATGTCGTCAAATTTACACGGAAGTTGTGGAGTCAATGAGCCAAGAATTCGGTAGGACCTCCCCGGTTACCGCACAGGCCCTCTGCGATCTCGGCGCCACCTATGTAAGGTCAAGTCCAAGGCTAACTCGATGGAGTTTCTCTCTCTCTAGGTGGCGTTGAAGCATAAGAAGCTAGCCCAGTCAACATTGACCGAGGCCTTGCATGCCAGTACAGTATCGAGAGGCATAGAGCATCCTGTAACTCAGCGTGTAGTGGAATGGTTACAAGATGGTAAGTTCGTGGAGTGGAGAAATGGCGAAGACTGGTGGCGTTTCAGCGGCGAAAATCGAGGACCCGGAAGATGTTGACGGATTTTGCGGTGACGATTTTGTTGACAACCTGCTCATGGACTGCGTTCACAAGATAGCAGAGCAAGAGAGTAAGTTTGGTAGAATAATTTCAGTCAACTGTTCATTGGGAATTACCTCAGAGCATTCGGCAGATGCAGGAGTTCAGGGAGACATCCTCTTCTTGGACCAGCGCGGCCATGTTGGTCACGGTAGCCCATTGAAGCCGCTCATATGAGAAGCATATCCCCCAAGTTAACCACTGTTCATATAGCCATTGTGTTCCAATTCACTGTTCTTCGTCGAGAGATGGTATGCGTTGAGTAGTTCGTTATACGGTCAAGATCGATTATTGTACACCTCTAACATTGGAACGGATTGATTCGGGTCCCTATGCTGAATTGGTATGACGAGACTTAGAGAGGTCAGATAGAGTGTGGGAATAATGACAACGAAACCCTCGATAGATGGGGAAAAGAGGAGATACACCGAACGCTGGAATTTATAGCTAAAATTAGGTAGAGACTTTCGGAAGCATTCAGTCATTACTCGACTCCGATTTCTTCGTCGGGAACTCTATAGACCTTGTCCGCTACCATACACACTCGCTGGATCTTTTTAACGTCATGCACTCGAACGATGTTGGCGCCTTTCTCTATGGAGGCAACAACAGCAGCGCCCGTGCCAAACGCAGCCATGTCCCAGATGTCTTCTGGAGGGTCATTACGGTCAGTAACGAATCTCTTGCGTGACGGACCGCTCAGGGAAGGCCATGGCACTCTGGAGAGGGTAGTGGGAAGAGCTTCCTTGTAGTGCCTCAGCAACTGGAAGTTGTGGTTGGCGAACTTGCCGAAACCGAGCCCGGTGTCGACTATGATGTTCCAGCGGGGGATGCCAGCCTTCATTGCAGCATTCACTTGAGTAGTCAGGACTTCATGGACTTCGTTAACGACACCGTTTGGATATTCTGCCTGACCATGGGGACGCATGTGCATGCAGACGTAGGGTACACCAAGCTCGGCTACGGTAGGCAACATACTCTCATCCCAGAGGCCACCCGAGACATCATTGACCATATCAACGCCCGCCTCGACTGCTTTCCGTGCTGTACTTGCATTACGTGTGTCGATACTCAACAGGACATGGTCACCCAAGTCCTCTCGAACGGCCTTGATGACTGGTAAGACTCTCGCCTGCTCTTCACTAACGTCCAAAGCCTGCAAGCTGTTGGTGCCTGGCCGTGTGGATTCCCCACCGATGTCGAGGATGTCGGCGCCACTTTCCATCAGCGTTCTTGCATGCTTCACTGCTTTCTCTACAGTGTTGTATAGACCACCGTCCGAGAAGGAGTCCGGAGTCACGTTCAAGACGCCCATTATGAAAGTCTTGCCTGCATCCCAATCCAGCAATCGGTCTTTCCCCACAGGGAGGACTCTGTGACACTGCTCCATAGTTCGTAATGAACTGATCAGTTCACCCAAGGTCCTGGCGAGGACCGGATGGCTCCACTGAGCCGGTAGCAGATCCCTCAAAGGTGCTAGGACGAAATCCCGCTCGTGCATGCGCTCGTGGGGTATGTTGAGGTCCGGAGTGTCCACCACGTCATTACCATAGAGGAGAATGTCCAAGTCGATCGGCCGTGGACCATAACGTAGAGTTCGGACCTATATGGAAGAGCATTCTCACACCCGAAACCCCCATATTTTAGAGACGATATAGTTGTTATTCCATGCTGCTATCTCTCCAACGATTGTTCAATACTCGAGCGGCCGAAGAGGACTCACCCTGCCCATCTTGTTCTCGATTTCATTGAGCTTAGCGAGTAAGTCATGAGGGGGCAGCGCTGTGTCCAGTGACAGCACGCAGTTGAGGAAATCGGGCTGGTCAGTAACATACTGAGCCTTAGTCTGATATAGGAATGACGTGTTTGATACTATACCTAAGGCGAGAGACGACTAATGCTAGCAAAAATCTTCCGCGTGCGCGCGAACACCAAGATTCCTATTCATAAGGGAGCTCACCTAATCCATCGGAGGCTATGCATTTGAGAGCCTGGTGGATATTCTGAGCACGGCCGCCCATGTTGCTGCCCAGGGCTATGTAGGCTCGCTTCAACGCTGCACTTGGTGTGGTCATGGAAGTCTGTGAAACGTTGGGGGACATGAAAAATGAAGGACGAATTGATCCCTGTAAGGAACGAACCCTCGCAGAGACCAACGAAAGGCTGGTTTGGTTGAGACTAGCGATGTGACTACGGTCAATTGGCGAAGCCGTGGCACATGGGTCGGTCATCCTGGGCTCATGGCACGTAGAGGAGCCCTCGACAGGTGCTGTGAGCTCTGACCGCAGCTGTATTGAGTGGTCTACGGTGACACCCAGAGGAAGGGCATGTCGTGAGGGGTATACCCTCTGATTGGTAGTAGCGATGCCTCGACTGTGGGGACGGGCTGAGGCGACAAACAAGGACACTTGGTCGGATGTGCTACTCGCGCAAGGCCTGTATCTATTAAGGCGGCTTTCCCCGCAATAGGTCGAAGGCTCTTGCAGATGGCGAACAGAGCATCGAAAAACGACATCATGGGATGCACCGCGGTCCGAGGCAGCAACAATGTAAGTCACCAATCTTCCGCTTCCATAGGGAGGTGCGCCCTAGGAGCCCGACCGTAATTGCCCCACGCCTCAGCCTGATAATGCTTATGATACAGTGAGGAGGGTAAACCAGAGAGCGATCAACTTGCTGGCCACCTGGGTCGCGACCATTGAGTAAATCAACAGCAGTGTTGGTATATATGTTCCAATTCCTCAGCTGAGTTCAGGAGTTTTTATTACTAACTAGAAAGTAATTACTAATTTTAAGGGAAATTTCATTACTTATTTTATTACTAAGAAGTTCACCCACGAATTCCAGTAGGAATGTACAGAAATGAATAACACATCCCGAAAAATTCCTCAGAATTTTCATATTATCATCAACACATGTAGTTCACCATATGCACATCTTCCCACATTGATCACAATTGTCACAGCCCATCGTAGACCATCCGCAGAAACTCTGAGCTGATTCCATCTAAGATTGTCCCCATAGTACCGTCACAACTGCCAAGGACTATCCTCCTTAAGCTCAGTTAGAGTTTACATGGACCTACCCAGCCTACTAGGTAGATGCCCATAACGATGCTTAGAAAGGACCTGCGGAGGGGGGCACCATAGGTTAGCACAGAACTATGGACCAACAGTACCCCTCCCTCTCAATTCACTACTGCTACTACGCAACATCAATAGAGCGCGGAAATGTAATCAGCATTCAGTGTAGATCCGCTGGAGATCGATAGATAGCCCTCGTCTTCGTCTACTACTCAGATTGTTCACCATCGTTCGCCGGTCCAGGCCCCATCATAGCCTTGCTGGTACCCCTGAGGGCCGGCTTGGGACCAACTCCCTTGAAACGATGCAGGCGACTGTCGAGGTTGCTGCCAGCTGTTTTGCCAGTTATTGTAGGGCTCCGGACTGCTACCCCAACCCTGGTCGTGGCCTCGCCACTCGTTCCGTCGGGGACTTCTAGACCTACTCCTAGGCCTCCTCGAGATTCCCACACCATAGGCGTCTGTCGCGCTCTCTACAATCCTACGAATCTGAGCGTTGGCAAAGGCCGATACATTCCGATAAGTTCCATCGCGTGCGCCAGCGGCCAGGCTCTCAGCTTCAAGTGAAGGGACACGGCCTGCTAGCACGTCGTCGAGGTCGGCTATGGAAAGCAATCTCCGCATGAGGTCGCCGATCCTTCCGTCCACAGTAGCTCGCTGGACCCAGGAAGTGACACCGTTTTCTAGCACCGTTAACGACGGTAATGACGTAAATTCTTGGTCTTTGCCCAGAGCGATGTCCCGTGCCTCATCCAACGTAGTGGCGTTCCGGACCGCCTCGATCGCTGAGGCAGCCGAACAGCCCGAAAGGAAGAACCCTCGAGCCTTCTCAGGAGCTCCCTGTTCGTCGAGGAATGTCCACACACGACTGGACGCCCGCTCTAGTGAACTGTCGCAGCCCGGGCCCTTATTGACCGATCTGAAGCGTCCCGGCCTAGGGGCTTCGTGGAAAGCGCCTTTTCCCTTGCCCTTTCCCTTGCCACTCCCCTTGCCGCCTTTGCCAACAGCCCCCTGTGCGGGATCAACAACTCTTCACAGCAGCAGTCACGACGCTACTAGC